CCTCAGGATTCCCAAATCCCCAATTTTGGGCTGTTTGGGGCAGTTTTGAGTGGATCAGAACCCAGAGAAAAGCTCTGAGAGAGATCTCAACCACTCGGCGCTAACCCCGCTCAGGATTTTGGGATTCCCGCGGGGAATTTGGGAATTCTCCTGGGATTTTGGCAACCTCAGCATTCCCAAATCCCCAATTTTGGGCTGTTTTTGGGTGGTTTTGGGGCTCAAGATCCCTGGGAAGGCTCTGTGGGCGGCTCCGTGCGACCGCGGTCACTCGGCGCTAACCCCGCTCAGGATTCTGGGATTCCCGCGGGGATTTCGGGATTCCCGCCGGGAATTTGGGAATTCTCCCGGGATTTTTGGCTACCTTGGCGTGGCCGTGTTTGCCGGTTTTGGAGGTGCTCATCTCCACGATCTTGCAGGGGCGGCCCTTGAGCACCACGAAGCCGTTCTTGCGCAGGGCCGAGCACTGCATGGGGAACGTGGCCGAGGCCCCCGCGTCCCCCGTCTCGAAGTCCAGGTCGTCGGCCATCGCCTCTCTGGGCGGGGGGGGGGGGGGGGGGAGGAATTCCCAAAAAAAAAACCGGGATTGAGGGCGGGGAATTCCAAATTTGAGAGGTCAGGGAGAAAATCCCAAAATTTGGGGGTCAGGGAAGGTCGGGGGAGCCCAAAAATTTGGGGGTGAAGTGGGAAAGGGAAGGGGAAAAAGGGGTTGGGGGCATCAGAAAGGGGAACTGGAAGGGGGTGGAGACCCCAAAAAGGGGGTGAAGACCCCAAAAATGGGGGTCAGGGGATGGAGAACCCAAAATTTGGGGAGTCAGGGAGAACCTCCCAAATTTTAGGGGTCAGGGAAGGTTGGGGGAGCCGAAAAATTGGGGGTGAAGTGGAAGGGAAGGGCAAAAAGGAGTTGGGGGCTCCCCAAAAAAGGCACTTGAAGGTGGTGGAGACCCCAAAAAGGGGGTGAAGACCCCAAAAATGGGGATCAGGGGATGGAGAACCCCAAAATTTTGGTGGTCAGGGTGAAACCAAAACATTTTGGGGGTCGGGGACCCCAAAGAGGGGAGGTTTGGGGGGTGGGGAAGCTCAAAAAGGGGCTGGGGGCAGCAGCGAGAGCCAAAAAAGGGGTGGAGACCCCAAAAATGGGGTTAGGAAGTGGAGAACCCCAAAACTGGGGGGGGGGGGTCAGAGAATGGGGAAGCCAAAATTTGGGGAGTCAGAGAGAACCTCCCAAAAATTTGGGGGTCAGGGAAGGTCGGGGGAGCCCAAAAATTTGGGGGTGAAGTGGGAAAGGGAAGGGGAAAAAGGGGTTGGGGGCATCAGAAAGGGGAACTGGAAGGGGGTGGAGACCCCAAAAATGGGGGTCAGGGGGTGGAGAATCCCAAAATTTGGGGGGGTCAGAGAATGAGAAACCCAAATTTTGGGGAGGTCAGGGGACATCCCGAAAAATCTGGGGGTCGAGGAGGACCCGGGGACCCCAAAAATTTGGGGCAAGAGGAGAAGGGGAAGCTCAAAAAGGGGTTGGGGGCTCCCCAAAAAAGGCACTTGAAGGTGGTGGGGACCCCAAAAATGGGGATCAGGGGGTGAGAACCCCAAAAATTTGGAAGAGATCCCAAAAATCTGGAGTTAGGGAGAGATGAGGAAGCCCAAAAAGGGTTTGGGGACCCCCCAAAAATGGAGATTAAGGGGGTCCCAAAATGGGAAAAGAGAAACCCAAAAATGGGGAGCCCCAAAAAGGGTCTGGGGAAGGCAAAAAAAAAAAAATCAGGACCCAAAAATGGGGTTGGGGACCCCAAAATTGGGGTTGGGAGCACCTGTGGGTATTGGGGACCCCCCCAAAAGTATCACAGAACCCCAAAAAATGGGGGATGAGGGTGGGGGAACCCCAAAAAGGGGGGAAACTCCCCAAAAAGGGAGGGGGAAACCCCAAAAAGGGAGGGGGAAACCCCAAAAAATTGGGGCAGGACCCCAAAAAGGAGGGGGAGGGATGGG